TCTATCTATCTATCTATCTATCTATCTATCTATCTATCTATCTATCTGCATGTCTGTCTGTCTGTCCACCAATTTCTCTGTGTTGAAAAAAACTAGATATAAGTGAATATAAATAAAATGTCCTAATTTGTTAAGTTTTGTTAGAACAACAACTAAAATAATAAATAAATAAATAATAAACTATAATAATAATAGAAGGGGCTTCTTTATTAAGCTACATTGTCCTGAAAATCCTGTAAAACGCTACATCCATCTGTACTGGTTACTTGGACTTTTCGTGGCCCGAAAAATGTTTCGCGTTTTCTTGTTAGAAATCTTTTTGGCCTTTACTGCATCTCGTAGCACAACAAGGAAGTGTTTTGGTAACTAAGGAAACCTGCGAGCGGTTTCTGAAATAAAGGTGGAGACGTTTTAAAGCTCAAGGTACGTTTTTGTGTGTGCAGAAATGCAACACGTCTATTTCTTAAAAAGGCTATAAAAACAGATAATCTGCTGATAACTAAATGTGTTTGGGGTGATCAATGAACGTACTCATTAATGAGTCTAGCAGTGGTGAGGCTAAAATGCCATTTTTGTTTTCTTGTTGTGTTTAATTTGCAGAAATACTTGAGGTTTTGTGTAATTATGAACCAGCTCCTCTACAGGTAGCTGTTTGTTCTGTTTGTTCAGCCTGATGGCTCTGCCGACTCTCTCGGTCCATCTGCCCAGTCGGTCCCGGGCGCTGGCAGAGCAGCTGGCCCGGCAGCGGGAGCAGGAAGCTCGATGGCGCCAGCAGTGGGAGCGTCATGCTCGGTACTTCAAGGAGCAGAGCATCCGCAGCAACAGACAGGAGGCATGGAGCTCCCGGAGGTCCTTCCAACAGAGGTAAATATGTTAATGGGACAGAACGAATCTGTTACTAGAGATGCACACAGACACCGAGGTCATATGAGACACATTTTCAAATCCTCTCTTTGACAAAGACAACACAACCATTGCAAGTTTTTGATATGTTTTATTATAAGTGCACCAGTTCAGCTCTGCAAATTACACATCAACAATCACGACACACACTTTTGCTCCTAGTAAAACAATTTCAAATCATTCAGATATTTGTAAAAAATAACCCACTAAACATTAGACGTCGAATGGATGTGCAGATCACGTTTATATTGAGTCCGTCGGTCTAGACCAATTCTGGACGTCTCCACGACGTGCAAACAAGGTCCACTCTGGACGTCTAACCATGACCTCACTTGTACGTCGATATAAAGTCGAATGTTTGAACGTCGGACTTGGAGGTCGTATAGACATCCAAGACAGGTGCAGGTGTGCCTTAGTGAATCATAATTTTTATAACCATAAAATTTACAATCATAATAAATTTGCACGGCTTCGTTCATAAACCAACTGTTGCTATTTTCTCTCGAAGCTGTTTCTGTTAATCCAGTAAAGAGGATAAAGGAAAAAATTTAAGGAGTGATTTACTTGTAAAACTTAGTCCATCTGTTTCTAGTGACATTTAAGGAGTGATGAGTTAATTGTAAACCTAGTTTCTGTAGTGCGTGGTTTCCTGTTGCACAATAGATGATCAAATATACTATTTCTTGATCTTTGTTTACCGCACAGAGATGTGCAGCGGCAGAGCAGCCGACTTTGAACCCGAAGGTCCTGGGCTCAAACCCCAGTCATTCCAACATCCATCTCAGGGTGAATGTGTTAAACACTGCTTGGGAACATACAATGAAGACAACACGAAGCACTTAGTAATTATATTATTATCTCAAGTGAATAAAATAAGTTAAATTTTGATGTAGAAAATACGTCTAGATTGACCGTCTATTGGACGTCGGAAAAAGACGTCGTCTGTCGTAACAGTCTGCACCTGGGAGGGACCCAAATTAGACGTGCAAAAACTACTTATAAAAGACGTCATTTAAACGTCTCCTTGCTCAGTGGGAAATTACTTTGAATATTTTGTTCTCTCCTAAAAGCACATTGCAGCAGTTACATCTGCTCAGACTTTACACTACAGGCACACAAAGCCTCATGTTCAAGCCCAAAAATAACAAAAGAAAACTCTTATTGTTACTACAATTCCTGCTGTGAAAATGAGACCTTATATCAATTGATGTGAGGCCACTGAGAAAATTTGAATGTTTGCAAGTAAAGTTGCACTTCTGAAAGATATATTCTCACAAATGGTTTTTTTTTTTTTCCTAATTGTAGACGTTTTTTTAACACAAACACAAGTCAGTAACTACAGCTACTCAGATCTGCTGACTAGTCACATACTGCTTTACAGGTCAAAAGTTGAGCTCAGCACACTCAAGTTTTGCTGTGATTTCTTGCTGTAGCTTGTTAACAGTGTGACAGCTGAATAATTTAAAAGCACAACAGTTTCTCAAACTGTGTTTAATCTTTAAGGCTTTTAAAGTGACTGAACCTAATAATTTATTTTGTAGATTAAAAAAAAAAAATCATTTTTGGTAGATCAAGGTACAAAGAAATACAAGTACAGAATGATGTATTTGTTGCGTTTTAGAAAACTCTCCCAACCTTTCAGAGCAGCTTTAAGTTTTGTGTAGAATGTTAGTGTAATTCTGCAAAAAAATACATTCTGGTAGTTGATGTTGTCGGGGCCGGGGCGTGAACCGGCGATCTTCGGATCACAAGCCCACCTCTCTAACCTCTGCGTCGTGTTTGTCTAAAGTTTGTTTCCTTTTAGGACCTTTTTGGATACAATGAGCTACCTTGTCATGAGCAGTAGTCCTTATAAAGCCCAGTCCTAATATGGTGGAACAACATTTCTAGTTAGGTGTTTGGTAAGAGTCAGGGCTAGGCTACAGAAATGAATGGAAACCTATACAATGTCTTAGGGTTAGAAATATGAAGTTGCGTGTGTGCAAATTTATTTCTGCATAAAATGAAGCTGTGATGGATAATGATGGAAAAAATGCTATTAAAACATATGTGTTTTATTATTTATTTATTTTATTTTATTTTTCAGCATGTCAGCCTATCATAGCCAGAGACTGAAGGAGGAACAGAAAGCCAACCTGGAGCAGCGCAGAAATCAGCTCAGGGCCATGCTTCAAGAGGAGCGAGACCAGCTGGAGGCAGAGCTCCAGGAACTAGTCCCTGACAGGACTGCACTGACGAGTCAGCTGGTGCAGAAAACTGAAGAGCTTCGTTTGGCCAGAGAAGAAAGAAAGAAAAAGGTAGCTGTGCCGAATAAGCAGCACTTTTTATTAATAATGATCATGATGCTCAGCCATAAAATAATTTAATCTCATAATTCCTGTGGTTTGCCTTTAGGTTGCACAAGCGCTTCTGAAGGAGCACTGGAAGAGAAACAACCCAGAATTACGACAGGTAGGTGTGTGTTTACAGTAAAGCACAGATGCAAAAGTGACTAAAATGACCTCAGTCAGACTGGTGATGACATGAAGAATGGCTTCAGGTTTCAGTTAACCATCTTGTGTCAACAAGTGTATAAAACAGACACTTTTAGTTAGGATTTCCATCTGTGCTGGAAACTTAAAGCACTTGTGAGGCACGCATTCCATGACTTTCTGTGAACTTGAGTCCAGCATTTACTTTCCTCGAGGGGTCAGGTTCATCAGCACCTCTTGTCACAACTCGTGCTTTTACTCCATCTGCAGGTTGAGTCAGCACTGCATAAAGATCATGTTGTCAGCCGGTGGCAAGAGCAGATATCTGAGAAGAAACAGGTAGGAAGATCATCCCAACTAAGACAAAATGTCTCAAATTATGTTTTTTTCTGGTGTTAATCAAACTAGAGTTTCAGGAAACTGTCCTCCCATCCAGTCTGTGAGGCAACATAAGAACAATCAGCCCTTAAATTTGTCATTATCCTTTTACGTCACCCATTATTGATGTAGCACATTCATTTTTAATCAAAGAGTGCTCATGCATTCTGTGAGCACAGTATCATGTCTGGAATCTGCTCAGGTTAATCCCTTCGACACGGTGCATAATTAAGAAAGTTTGACACTCGATGTAAGTGACCCATCTCATCCAACATGCAGAAAGAAGTGACCGAACAGGAGGAGAAGAGACGCTTTGAAAACGAGTACGAGAGGACTCGAAAAGAGGCTCTGGAGAGGATGAAGCAAGCAGAGGAGCGAAAGAGAGAGGCGGAGCGGAAGAGGGCAGAAGAGCTTCGGAAACAGATGGAAGAACTGAAGCTGAGGGAGGTGGAGGTATTTGGAACCTCAAAAAAAAAGCTTTCCCCCAAATATTTTGTTTTTATTGCTGTATTCTTCCACTTAGGCTACTCGATTAAAAAAGGAACAAGAGGCCCTGTTAGTTCAGCAGTGGAATCTGGAGAAGATGGAGGATGAAAGGAGGAAAATGGAGGAAAGGCAAAAGAAAGCAGAAATAGGGTATAAGAAGTTTTTTGTGCATTTTGGGGGGGGGGGGGTCAGTTTAAGTGCTGAGTTCACTGGCTTTTTGTTGCACCAGGCATTTTTTGATTCGTCAGTATCGAGCTCAGCTGAAGAGGAGAGCTCAGCAAGTCCAGGAGGAACTGGTACCGATCCATTCCATCTGCAGTGTATTACTCTAAATGTGTTCTCCATGTTTCTTTAGTCTGTTTGCTTTATTCACTTGTGAACATCAGGAGGCTGATTGTAGGATTCTAGCAGCACTGCTAGAAGGAGAGGAGGAGGGCAGAAAGCTGGAGACGGCACGAAGAGAAAGAGCCGTCGCTGATGCCGCCTGGATGAAACGAGTGATTGAAGAGCAGCTCGAGTTGGAGCGGGAGAGGGAGGCTGAGTTTGACATCCTACACAGGTCAGCATCAGGGTTCAGTAAAAGAAACACAAAGATTCTTGCAGCACTTTGACCAGTTTCACCTGAATGTACAGAGAAGAAGCTCAGCGTGTGTGGGAGCAACGAGAGACTCAGTGGGACAAGGAGAAGAAAGCCAGAGAGCGACTCATGCACGAGGTGAAACTGTTTTGAATGATTGAGATTGGTTTTTAAAAACGAATTGTTAAATAAAAAGATGTTTTCCTTGATAAGGTGCTTGTGGGGAGACAGCAGCAGCTAGAGCTAAAAATGCAAAAGAATCGCGAGGCTCAAGAAGAATCGCTGAAGAGACGGGAGGAGCTGATCCAGGAGCTGGAGCAGGAGAGGGAGCTCAGATGCCTGGAGAAGGAGCAAGAGGAGGGCCGGAAAACAACAAGGATGCAAGAAATAAAGGCTCAGGTGAGCGGTAATAACATGTATTTTTTTTTGTTTCTGCTTAAAAAAACATGCTCTAAAATAATTTGTTTAATGCAGGTGGAGCAGAAACACCAAGAACAACGGGAGGAGCAGTGCAGGAAAGAGGAGGAGGAAAAGGAGGACAAGGAAGCTGTTCGGATCCAAGAGGAGGATCTGAGACTTGAGATGCAGAAACTTGTTGAAAAGGGGTACCAAGAAAAGGTGAAATAGCTGCATGTTCATCTTTAACGTTCCAGAATTCTCTTTAACATTTAAAAATCTTCAAATTTTATTTTATTTTTTTACATTTTCAGATTCACAGCAGACCTCGATCAGCATGGACATAAGCATCTTGCAAGACCGAACTCCAACTGAAGTGTGAAGTACGCTTTCTGAAGAGAATTGGCTTTAAAAGACAGTTTATTGTTTCTGTCCTTATGTTATCCAGCTAACTGTGAGGGTGGAACATAGACACCCCGTCTTACTGGGACAGATGGGGACAATATTCACAATAAACTGAGCACTTATCAAATCAACATCATTTTATTGAGGTCTTCTAGAGAGCATTCTTTCATTGTTTACCCACATTACTTGAGAAGCTAACCAAATATTGTGTGCAGTTTGAACAGCATGTTGAAACCAAGAAATTAGAATTTCTCTTGTTCTCTTTAAGTTATAAGAAATGTTTTCATGGTCAGCATGGAGATGAATCCTTTCAACCCAAGCCATGAACTTAAGAGATGTTTACCATTTAAGACCAAAAAGTACATCTGTATTTTAATGCCTTTTGTAAATGATGAAACATTCGTGAAGTTTATGAAGGCCAGGTGGTGGTTTTTTTTTATTTGCATTGAACAGCACTTTTAGATTTCTTTAAAAACTAGAATTTTCTATGCTGATTTTGTAGACATTCTTAAATAAAACATTTGCAATCAAATTTGTGTTATGCTTCTGCATGGACATAAAATAAAAAAAAAATACAAACAAAATTATATTTATTTATAAATAAAGTTAATTTAAAATACGTTTTTCTTCAAGTGCAGTTTAAACAGTTGCATCGCATACAAAAACGAGAAGAATTGCTTGGCCTAAAAATAAAAATGGCATTTGAAGTAGTGACACAGGAAACCTTTAAAATGTTCCCATGAGTTGCACAGTAACAGAACAAACACACAATATCCTGATGCTGGCGAGAAAACAGCAGCTGGCCCCTGAACATGTATACCTTGTGTTCTGCAAACAGGAGTACACTGTACTTGGGACAGGAAACAAACCATAAACAGCTTTTTTAATGAAACATTAATATTGCAGAGCTACAACGCGTGCATGAGCATTAACTTGAACATTTATTAGAACTACATGGTTTTATTGTTTACCTGTATATTAAACTTCGTGGTGATGCCTGTGCAGTTGTTAAAGTGAAGAAATCAGCAATAAGTCATCAGTTTTTCTTGGTATCCACATGTAGTTTGAGACTGATAACTGTGCTTCACTATACTGTATGATGTGCATAATTTATTTTCTTAATGACCACTACAGACCCACTAAGGTTATTTTCTTATACTTTGTTATAATTTATAAACAACCTAACTGGATATATTGAATTCTCATAAATTGTGCTACAATAGAGTAATAGATCTAAGTTGCATTTTTGATTTCCCCTCTTGATATTCCTGCCTTTTAAACATTGTAAACATCATCTACAATATTATTATCCATAATATTGACAATATAAAAAAAAATCCATGCATATACTCCAAATATATTTAAAGACAATAAAATACAACACTGAGATGCAGATGGCTTTGCAGCCCTTTAAGTGCTCTTTAGTTGGTGTTCTCCTTTGTTGTGATGGTAACAAGCTGCTTGGCAGCCTTGGCAATGTCATAAGCACATTGGATGACCTGCTGGGTGACCAGCTGCATGTCCGGTCCCGAGCTGCCGCTGCCGCCCTCCGAAGGAACGGCCTTTCCGCACTCGTTCTGGAGACGAGATGCACTGAAGGTCAACAAGCGCAGAGAGTTTCTGACCGTCTCCGAGCGAGGCTTCTGCAGACAAATATTTACATTTTGGAAGAAATTAGACGTTCAGCTTTCTAAGAGCTGCGTGTAACATTTCAGAAACTAACACATAAAGCTGAACAGTTAAATAGAAGAGTGCTTCAAACCTTTGGAAAGAGGGCAGCCATTTCTGTTACAGCCGCATGTATTCTTTCTGAGCAGGGTATGAAGCTACGAGGGGAGAAGGTTTCCACATGAGATCAACTTTAATAAAAATATTTTAAAAATCATAATCGTAAATAAATATGAATCTGAAGCTACTGCAATCATGCATCATCGTCCTAAACTTCAAAAACCATGTCAGTTAACCAGCAAAAGAAACAACCTGAACAAATAAAACCAATTAAGTAACTTCAAAACATCAAAGTTCATGCTCAGTAATCCTCAAATAATTGTTCCACACTGTAACTTACCTCTCGTCAGAGCAAAATTAAATTAAATTACCAAAAATCTTAAAACGCCATTCAAAACACAGCAGCACATTCAGCAGAAAGAGAGTTTGTTAGCAGGTGAGGCACACCAGAGGAAGAAACCATGTGAGGGAGAGGAAAATAAAACTGTGCCTGGGAGGCAGGGACAGAAGCCAGAGTACCAGGAGGTGGGGTCAGGGGATCGGAGGCTGAGCGGATGAAGGGGAGAGGGGGCCTTCTCAGCCCAGGGCACCAGAGTGCTGAAACATCCCAGGCTGTGCCTGAGCCGTCGCACACCTTCACGCTCACATGGTCTGCTCGCAGGAGCGAAGGATGGAGGAGACAAGGTGACAGCAGAACACGGGTGGATGTAGAATGAAGAGGAGGGAATTGGGCAGGAATAAAAGTGGAAATGGACAATGTTTAAAATAAAAACAAAACAATGAAATGATGAACTCGTATTTGAAACTGAAGAAAGGAAGTGAAGGCTAAAAAAATGTGATCCACAGATGATGAAATGTTTTTTTTCAGATCAGGGTCTGACCTGTCATGTTTGTTGTCCTGAGCAGCTCTCAGGAGCTCCTGAATATTCTTGGTGATCTGCTCGGTTTTTCGGATGACGTCCTCGGTGCTGGGAAGTGTCGGGTCTGACTCCATCTCCACATCATCCAGCTCAGGGATTGAGTTGCCCTCTCCCAGCCAGCTGCCGCTCTTCAGCCTCCCTCTCCTGCAGAAACTGCGAAAAGAAAAATCAGAAGAGATGATCGCCTTACCCAAGTTTTAACCTATTTTAATTTACTGCAGTCTGTTATAAAGGAGTTTAACTTGAACTTCTTACCCCAGGTCATCTGTCTCCGAGTCATGAAACGTGTTGTCGTAATCACTTTCTGGCATGCTGCTTTGCTTTTCCAACTTTGAGGTCTGAAGGCAGGAAAGGCAACAAAACAGCCAACAACATGTAAACACTCAAACTACTTTAATATGGTTTAAACGTAAGTTTTTGTTTGTTGATCAGGTTAAAGATAGACAAGTAAAAGCTCAGCTGTCTGAATAAGACAAGTCAATTAAAGCTGTGAGGCCAGGCTGCACGTTTCAGGAATACAGGGAGAACTTTTCAAAAGGAAAATACCAAGTTCAAATGATGTGCTCACATCAGATAAGCATGTAACTGGACGTTAACCTGACCATTACCAGTTCCTGACCATTACCAGTTCCTAGTTTCATTCAGCCGACTTTGTTACAATTACATACGGTACTTTGTCAAGGAATCTTGTATAACAGGTTAAACCCAGGTGGTTCAGTTCAGATAAGTTTAAACAGAAATGACTGAGATGGTTCCTCCTCTTCTTCCAGAAGAGTTCATTTGTTCCACAATAACAGACTCAAGGCTTCATTTGGAAATACATAGATAAAAACCAACAAGGTCTATTGTGACCACACACTCCTGGTCTCCACATCCATGAATCTGCATCTTGCAAACAGTGGAGTCTGAACTCAGCCCAGGTAAGCTTGTAGATGACCGATCAGTCTTTTCAAACAGGAAATCCCCATCTGGATCCCCGCAGTGTTTAGTCTTTGTTGAAGCAGAAGCATTTTTGCAAACGGTTGTTAGCCAAAGAAAAGGAATAACCTGACTTCTATAAGGTTAGCAGCTGATGAGGAGCAAACCACAATTTGTGCTTCTTCTATACACCTAAATTTGTTCAGATTAAAATATAATAATCAAAGCACCATCAAGATTTTGTAGGCAAAATCGGTTGACATTTTCTGCTCGTGTCCAATTGGCCGCAGCTTTAGCACAACGCTCTGCAGTCAGAGGTTGTGCATTGACAAAAACTACACTGACCCATTTGTTCAGCAGTGCAGTGAGGATGATGCAGATGAAAGCAGCCAGTGGAGGGTTGGTTCATGCAGCGGAGCAGAGAGGAGCAGCAACAGAACAGGACACAGCAAATCCAACAGATTTGCTGTGTCCTACAAGATGCTGACTGGATGTGTGTGTACTTAACCTGAAAACTGTCATCCTTCGACCAAGACAGGGTGGATGGAAATGATGGAAGGGATGAAGAGGTCACAAAAGTACCCCTTTCTGTCTAAAGACAGGGTTCACATCACATTTTAAAATACAGTTTTATGACAGCTGAACGGAAACATGTCCTCTAAAGACCCACTTAGACTGAGTTTATTGGTAATGATGATGAAACAGTTAATGTGCAATGACCATGAAAACAATGTAGCATAAATAGAGCTGCTCTTAATGAAGAGTGACCTCATGTCGAATCAATACTATTCATTCAGGTAGAGACATAAAACTGTTGAATGCATTTCCTGAGCAGCAAATATCAATGAAAAGGTTGACAGATATTCCACTGAAAGGTTAGTCAGAACTATTTAACAGGCTCATGAATTAATAATCACATTTAATGGTGTAATTTTTCTAAACAGAGAATGCAAACAAAACACAACAGATTAGTATGGAAGTTTTAATGATTCATCAACATAAAACGGTACAAAATTTCATCACAACAGGATCTTTCTGGTTCCACACGTCTTGCAAAAAAAAGAAGAAGAAAAAAAAGGGACAGAATGGAGATTTTTAATAAACTGATTTTTGGTGTGACCCAAAATGACCCAGAAAAATTAAAGGGAAAGAAAAACTGAACAGAACAAAAAAAGGAAGAGGAAAACATTTGCAGGCAAGGTAATGAATTAAGGAAAAGATGTGGAGACAGGGCGGGACAGAGGAAGCTGCGAAGGAGAACAGGAAACAGGTCTTACTTACATGAGGTGTGAAGGGTTGCAGGGTGGGGAGACTCTCCTCGGGGTAAGGAGTTTCCCCTTTGGGGAGATAGGGCTTCAGGCCTGAGCCGGTCTCATACATGGACATGGGCCGACTGGCCCGCGCAGACTGCCGGCGTTTCAGGGCTGAGGGGCTGGAGGGGTCAGGGTAGTCTGGACCACTGGGGGTCTGATACATATTGGGTGTGACCTGCCGCCTGAGACAGATGTTCTCACTTTGCAGAGATTGCAGCTGGAAGAGACGGTCAGCAAGACACTAAGAGGAGCTCTCAGCAAAGCAAGCTTTGTTCCCCGCCATGATTTCTAGAAGTCTCTACTTTTAATGCATCATTTTATAAATATTTTAATTATGCATGAACAAATTCACCTGTTTCTATTGTGTTACTACAAAATCTGAAGCTTATTCAATGAATAGAATATACAGGTGCTGGGTCATAAAATTAGAATATCATGAAAAAGTTGATTTATTTCAGTAACTCCATTCAAAAAGTGAAACTTGTTACATACAGATATATTTCAAATGTTTATTTCTTTTAATGTTGATGATTATAACTGACAACTAATGAAAACTCCAAATTTAGTATCTCAGAAAATTAGAATATTACTTAAGACCAATTAAAAAAAAAGATTTTTATAAATGTTGGCCAACTGAAAAGTATGAACATGAAAAGTATGAGCATGTACAGCATCAATACTTAGTTGTTGCTCCTTTCACCTGGATTACTGCAGCAATGCGGCGTGGCATGAAGTCGATCAGTCTGTGACACTGCTCAGGTGTTATGAGAGACCAGGTTGCTCTGATAGTGGCCTTCAGCTCTTCTGAATTGTTAGGTCTGGTGTATCTCATCTTCCTCTTCACGGTACACCATAGATTTTCTATGGGGTTATGGTCAGGTGAGTTTGCTGGCTAATTAAGAACAGGGATACCATGGTCCTTAAACTAGATACTGGTAACTTTGGCACTTTGTGCAGGTGCCAAGTCCTGCTGGGAAATGAAATTCTGCATCTCCATAAAAGCTGGTCAGCAGCAGGAAGCATGAAGTGCTCCAAAACTTCCTGGTAGACAGCTGTGTTGACCATGGACCTCAGAAAACACAGTGGACCAACACCAGCAGATGACATGCCCCCCCCCCCCCCCCAAAAAAAAAAAAAACATCACTGACTGTAGAAACTTGACACTGGACCTCAAGCAACATGGATTCTGTGCCTCTCTTCTTGTCCTCCAGATTCTGGGACCTTGATTTCCAAAGTAAATGCAAAATTTACTTTCATATGAGAACATAACTTTGGACCACTCAGCAGCAGTCCCAGGCGAGATGCTTCTGACAATGTCTCTTATTATTCTTCTTATTATTTTTGAATTATTATTACTAACCTTTATTTAACCAACCCTCTTGTTCAAGAGTGGCTTGACACAAGGAATGCGACAGCTGAAACTTTTGTCTTGCATACGTCTGTGCGTGGTGGTTCTTGAAGCACTGACTCCAGCTGCAGTCCACTCTTTGTGAATCTCCCCCACATTTTGGAATGGGTTTTGTTTCACAATCCTCTCCAGGGTGCAGTTATCTCTATTGCTTGTACACTTTTTTCTACCACATCGTTTCCTTCCCTTCGCCTCTCTAGTGTGCTTGGACACAGAGCTCTGTGAACAGCTAGCCTCTTTAGCAATTACCTTTTGTGTCTTGCCCTCCTTGTGCAAGGTGCCAATGGTCGTCTTTTGGACAAATGTCAAGTCAGCAGTCTTCCCCATGTTTGTGTAGCCTACAGAACTAGACTAAGAGACCAGTTAATTAGCTGATTAGACTGTGGCACCAGGTGTCTTCAATATTGAACCTTTTCACAATATTCTAATTTTCTGAGATCCTGAATTTGGGGTTTTCATTAGTGGCCAGTTATAATCTATCCATCCATCCATTTTCTTTACCCGCTTATTCCATTTTGGGTCACGGGGGTCGCTGGTGCCCATGTCCAGCAATCACTGTGCGAGGGGCGGGGTACACCCTGGACGGATCGCAAGTCCATCACAGGGACACATAGAGACAAACGAGACAAACAACCATTCACTCTCTCACTCACACCTAGGGACAATTTAGAGTTACCAATCAGCCTAACATGCATGTTTTTGGACTGTGGGAGGAAACCGGAGTACCCGGAGAAAACCCACGCATGCACAGAGAGAACATGCAAACTCCACCCAGAAAGGCCCCTGGACCGGGGTTTGAACCAAGGACCTGCTTGCTGAGAGGCAGCAGCTCTACCAGTTGCGCCACCATGCTGCCTGCCAGTTATAATCATCAACATTAAAAGAAATAAACATTTGAAATATATCAGTATGTGTGTAATGAATATAATATACAAGTTTCACTTTTTGAATGGAATTACTGAAATAAATAAACTTTTTCATGATATTCTAATTTTATGACCAGCACCTGTACCTATATTTTATTTCTGTAAGAATAATCGGCTTCATAATTAAAAAAAACTGAGAAATGAGCTTCACTATTGTTGGAACAGCTACAGTTACTAGCTGTAGTATAAAAAAAAACTAATTCACACAATCACGGTCTGGTTTACACTCCATGTGATTTTACCGAAGCATTTTCATTTGTCTGAACATGCAAAGCAAGTGATAAGAAAGCAAGAAACTGTTGGTAAAGATGCAGTTACAGTAAAGACAGACTTGAGAACTGTGGGGAAAACAGACATTCAAGAATAATAAAACTCTAAGAAAGTGCAATAAATTGCATTCAAAGAGACAACAGATTTTTGTTGGCGACAAGGGGGCTTCAGTGCTAAACTCCATGTTTGATAAAGCTTCTGATTTCTGTTACAGCTAAACACTGTGCCAATACTGTACGTGCGTACATTTATTTAAAATTTTCAAGTAGCTTGTTCTGAATCCTGCAGGTTTTCTCCACCACAGCTTTAAATGTGCACACCGTGAACTACTGTACAAAGTCTTGAGAAAAGGACCACAGAAATTTTCAAGTACATCCAAAACAAATTGAAACAATTCAGTGAAACATATTTCTAAATTAGTTTGAGGATAAACATTTGATAAATGTTACTCTTTAAAATAAGGCATCGAATAATAAATACAACAAGGAAAGCAGCTGAAAATACGCTGTAAAAACACTGTATGCAACTTTTAAAAATACAGTACATGAAGCACGATAGAAGAATTTCAGTCGTCGTCTCGTGAAGAGTTAAACCTGATGTCAGATATGCCATGCTGCTTTTAGAACATGCTTGTTAGTAACATTAAATGGAATTTAATTTATATTAAAAAATAATAAAATGATACCCATTTAAATCCAGTAACAAGCACAAAAGAAGAACCTGCTAAAATCTATGGTTTCCATTCATGCTGGTTAAATCGGAGAGTTGCCCCCCCCCCCCCGGTGTTAGTGAACTTATTGGTGGAGCACAGTGGATACCTTTATCCGCATGAGCCTCAGCTGATCGTTCAGATCGTTTTGGGTTTTCATGAGCTCCTGGATCCTGGCTTCAGAGGCAGAGAGCGCCGCCTTCACCTCCACGTACTCTTGCATGGTGATGGGGCCGTCAGAAAGGTCAGAGCTCAGGCTCTGTCGAGGATATTAGTTAGAAACAAAAATACCACCATAAAAAAAAAAAAAGTCTGACAGTTTTAGTAGCTAAATACCTTAGTTCTTTCTTCTTTGCTTGATGGAAGCTCTTGATCTGTATCGTCATCGGACGCCACTTTGTCATAGTCGGGGTCAGTATCTTGGCTATCACTACAGTGTCTGACAGCTGTGCTATTCAGTATGAGTTCAACGTTATCTAGATAAAAAATAAAATGTGAAATGTCTGGACTCTCAATGTTAATAAGATTAAGGAATAATGTAACATGGAGACACCAACCTTTAGGACTGACAGCTGAACTCCCATGCTGTCTGCATTTAGCATCACTTAGTATGTCGATCACTAGCGTTACGAACTCGTGTGCATTAAATCTTGCAAGCTTCTGTCGTCCCTAAATAGGACACGTGGCATTACACAGCAGTTGCAAATAATGAGAATGTGGGAACAGGGCTCGAGGAGACTTCTGCACAGCTGACTTGCCTGGTTTCTTGTTGAGGAATACTCTGGATTCACAGGAAGGAAAGGAATCACCGTCGTCTCCGTCACCAGCTTGCTGTGATTCTGTGTGGCCAGCCACACTGCAATGACACAACGATTTAAACGTGAATCTACGGTGTAATTCAAACCTTTCACTGCGTCTTAATTGTAGGTTTATGCACAATGAGGTCACCCCGCTGAAGGAGAATTATTTAGATAAACAAAAACTACTTCTAACGCCTTTTGTTTACCTGCATCAGTCTCTCGTCTGTCCACTTCATCGTACACATCCATGGCCAGCTCCTCAAATAAATGATTATTGAGCTGCATGAACATAACAAAGTCACATTTTATTTTATTAAAATACGAGATATTCAAATAAATCTCTAATATTACTTACAGACTGTAGTTTCCTCTTTGCTGCTTTTGCAAGTTCATTTAGATCTGAACTGCTGCAAATGAAAAAAAAAAAAAACTCGTTATTATACAATCCCCCATTTTATACTTTGCATCAACATACACACTGTTTCACCGAGTTATACTTACACGTTTCTAATCCATCAAAAGACAGCAAATAAAAACAGATCAAATGCATAATTTAAATTTAAAAAGCCCAATGACTGTTCAGGAGTGAAGTTTTCTGATTCTCTGCTTGTTGTTAAAATCATCCGAATCTTTTGGCAAAACATTTTAATTTGCTTAAATTAACCAATACTTTTTTAAACCAGATAATAGACACTGCAGAGACATTATTATTCGACGCATCAGAGAGAGAGAAAAAAATACAACCATGAATAACTTCCAACAGTTTAAGCCAGTCCTATAAGATCGATTTATATTCTTCAACTTGACATATTCTACTATCTCACCTGTCTGCCAGCTGTGGAACAATGAAGTGATCGTTATTTTTATGTTCTGAAAAAAAAAAAAAAAAGACAAGAAAATTGTGGTTTTATGACAAATGGTCAACACTTAGGACAAAACACTCTTCAGCACATCAACGTTCATGCTCAATAATCCCGGTAAAATATCCAAGAAAGTTCAGTCAGGTCACCTGGACCGTTTCTTTGTTTTGTTGAGACGTTTCGTCCTTCATCCAAAGGACTTCTTCAATCTGAGGAGCCACAACAAACTCAGTCCCACAAGCAGCACACTCACATAGTGGACCAACCAGTTTGCTGGTGATAAGACGGTTTCTGGGTTCCGCCCTCTCCCCCGTCGACTCCTCTGAGGCAGCCATAGCCAAAGTGGTTCAAAACATCAAAGTTCAAGCTCAATAATCCAGGTAAAAAAAATCCAACAAAGTCCAGTCCTCTTGAACTTTGAACCTCCTCCTCATCAGTCCTCCTTGGAGTGATGAAGTCCTTTGGATTAAGAACGAATCATCCATCCATTATCTTTACCCGCTTCTTCCTTTTTTGGGTTGCGGGGGTCACCAGTGCCCATGTCCAGCAGTCACTGTGCGAGAGGCGAGGGACACCCTGGACAGGTCTCCAGTCCATCACAGGGACACAGAGACAAATGAAACAACCATTCACTCTCTCACTCACACCTAGGGACAATTTAGAGTTACCAGTCAGCCTAACATGCATGTTTTTGGTCAATGGGAGGAAACCGGAGTACTCGGAGAAAACCCACGCATGCACAGAGAGAACATGCAAACTCCACCCAGAAAGGCCCCTGGACCGAGATTTGAACCAGCAACCTGCTCACTGAGAGGCAGCAGCTCTACCAACAAAACATCAACAAGAAAAAAAAGAAACCATCTGGATGACCCAACTAAACTTTGTTGGACTCCAGCACAGTTTGATCACTCTACATAGAAACAATTAGTTTTTGAGACCTTCCTTTAGACAGAAAGTGTTTTTTTTAATTATCTCCAAGTCATAAAAGATATTGACAGATTCCTCTCACTGCATACCGGGTTTTCTGCCATACAGGTAGAACGCCAGTCGATCAGTGAGTTCATACTGAATCTCCACCAGCCTATCTGCCAGCTCGTGGTGACCAGCTTCTCTGAAAACACAACCACAACACACTTTGACGCCTCAAATAGAACAAATTATGGGCTCAGATCTTTAGTGAGGGACTTAAAACACATGAACTACATTCACAAGTCAGAAAACTTACTTTGCATAGTCAATAGGAGTTTTTCCATTGCTGTCTAAAGCTCCAGGATCGGCTCCATAAACGGATAATAACTCGACCTGAGAGATTTGTCCTTCCTTTGCAGCTACGTGCAGCGGAGTGTTCCCTTTTTCCTGGAAGAGGCAATGATTGACAAGACAAGATGCTATGAGGTCAAATCTGCACAAAACAGTGCAAAAAATCTAGAAATATACATCTTGGCTTGAAATTTAAACTTTAGTCTTACAGGATTAAAAAAATTTGCTTGCGCTCCCAGAGACAGTAATCTCAAACACGTCTCAAGATTCCCCGTACGGACGCTCGAGTGAAGTTGCTGGAAACAGAAATATTGCTATGAGCTGAAAATTCATTAATAAAAAGAGGAACGTGCTTTTGTACAAAAATAAAGGACATTTCATTTGCAGCGTAATCTTAATAAACCAGCAGCTTCTCCTCACCTTGCTTAAATCCTTCGCTGTAAAACCGTCATCTTCTCGACACGGCATGCGATGCACAAATGCCAGCATTTGATATTTGGCTTTTATAAACTCTGATTTGGTTGGACTTGAAAATCAGACAAGACATTAATAAAAACACATTTTTTAATTCCCATTATCAAAAAAAAGCATCTACAAACAAAGTCCTGCTGTAAATATTTCCAAACATGATGTCTCACTGAAGTTTGTCCTGAGGACTGGGTTTACGTTTTCCACTTATCACAGAGGAAGGGTCCAGGAGAGAGTGCTCCCATATTGAATTTGCACCATTGCTATATAATGTGTGAATCATCTAGAAAAACAATAATAAAAATAAAAAAAAACTATAAAAAACGCTGATTTCAGAGAACAGATGTGCAGCAATGCCAACGTAAATGTAGAGGGGTGATTCACCTGAAGCTGCGTCGGAGGCCATGGCATTCGCGTCAGGTGACGGATTTGGGAGCTGTGTCTGCCGAGACTTCGATGAACGCTGCAGCACTCATCACAGATCAACACCCCCTTGTTCACTGAGGCCCAGCGAGGCTCTGAAACAGGAGGAAACTCAAAAGTCAAGACACATTAACAACAGTTTAAGGACTCACACATTGCAACCCCTGGGCTTAGAAAAATAATGTAATTTCATTTTGCAGCCTCTTTCAAATACACTCATTATTTTAAATGGACATAAAGTTGGAAAAAAACAACCAAGTAGGAAATAAAACATAATTGCAACTGTCAATGATTTAACACTGTTTTATCAGCAGATTGAGACGAAGCCATGCAGTTTGCAAAAAAAGTTTGTAAAAAGGAAGTGAGGACCAGCGAAGGTGGAAGTTCTCTCTGCAAGAGCTGCTTCCTCTTTTTAAAAGAGAAATGGTGCATACAAAGATGATGCACATTAATGTCTGTGTCCACAATAAAAATACGGATACTTAATCTGGACTTATTCACAACACTTTATGTAAGCCAGATGTCACAAAGATGTCCCTATTATCGTCTTCCATGCGAATGAAACTCTGACACCAACGCCTTAAGACTAAAACAGTAAACTCATGAGACCCTCGTGCAGCTGGTGAACTGTCTAGCAGATTGGGTGTCTGGCGCTGTGAAAGGATGAACACTGAAGCCTGTAAATGTCTAAAAAGCAGCTGAGGTGTAGGAGGAACAGCTGCAGGGGAGACTTTGTCTGCCGGTCTCCCCGTTTTAAGAATCTTTACTTAACTCTCCACCAAGACCTGCTGACATGCCTCTTCAATGCTTTCCTCAACAAGAGCTAATCATTTGATACCGCATCTCAAATCTCTAAATATAAGGACAACCAACAACTGGTACCAACCATATGTGGGGTGGGGGTATTCTGGACTCCTGTCTGAGTAAACTCAGTGTTAACTAATCTGAAAGGCAAAAAAGATGCCAGATGATTCGCATTTTTGCTGCTTTTCTTTCTTTATGTTTAACAATAATGAACGAAGAGATTGTTTAAATCTGAAAAAGTTTAACAATAAACTATGCGTGTTATTTTTTATAAGCAGGAGATGCATTATGATGACACAATAGCTGAAGAATTTGTCTACTGCAGTGGCAGCATCCTGTTTTGCTTCCTGTGCTTGCTGAGAAAAACACCACATCATTTATTTTATTGTAAATGATTAGAATGTTTTTCCAGAAACAATCAAGCGAATATTATCTTAAGTAGAAACATTGGACTGTACAAAGTTTCACTCATCTGTAAAAATCTGTTCTGAACTGTAAATGTGATCGCTGTGAAAGGGATCAATTGTCTCATGTCAGATTGGAAACACTGTAGGAATAAATCTGCAGACAAACACCACGTCAAATTAGGATTGTGGCTTTATCAAGTTGGAGTTTTATTTATTTATTTTTTTCTTTCATGTGCATTAATGTTTTGGACAAATAATATTTTGTTAAAGCAGTGGATGGAAGTGCTGTCTTCATAATCCTGCAGTGAATTTAGGTTTAGTCACTATCTTCCTCACTTTAATTGTTATGAATGGTGCAGTAATCCTAAAAAAACCTCAGATATTTTGTTACAATTAAACTTCTTAAATGTTTAAATGTCAAATTAAATGCTAAAACCACTTCTGATGGAACACCACTAATATAAATACGCTGTTTACTGACAATAACAATTAAAACACTTACCGGTGCCTGCCCTGGAAAAACTCCAGTAACGTGCAAGCACGCGCTACTTACAGCAGCGCGGGACACTTGTAATCTGATTTAACACCATATGTCAGCAGATAAATAATATTAAATCGTTTTACCTGGAGCACTGCAGTCTGCGCAGACCTCAATGTTTCGCAGACGTTTGGACATCCTAAACTTGTGAGGGGGAACGCCTTTATCAAATGTGTAAAATCCGTTCAGAAGCCCGTGGAGACGCCTTCCGCGTTAGCTAAATTCAGCTAATAAAACGAAATCAAAACATCGACATGACGAGTTTCTTCACACAGACGCTGCTAGCCTTTGAGTTTGTCTGGCGTTTGCATCATGGCCAACAATAACATTACCTCTCGGGACGCAACACAAGCTGCTTGCCCGAATTACAACTTACGTTTGACACGCAGTCAGTTGACTGTGCACCCACCTGTCCCGCTAACTAGCCTGCGCTCCTATGGTGGTTTACAGCCTGGTAGACAGCTGCTACCGTGACCTAATAGCATGGGTTAGTGTGCCCGAAGTAAGGACTGCCAGGGAAACAAAGCTCCGGGTGTAGCATGTACGTTAGAAATAAAGCCACTTGGATAAACCCTGTTGTATGACTACCAAAAGTCTAATTATATAGTTATTAGAGTATATTTTACAAACAAGTGGTAAATACAACGCAGCATGTCGTCTATTATACAACCTGGAAGGTAAACTGAGGGCATAAAGTGTAACCATCAAAAAAAAAAGGGGTGTGTTTGATTTAAGCACCCTCTGACACGGTACAACAGGAGTCATATTTTTTTTATATTTTTTTATTAATAACACACAGAACTACAAAAAACTACAAAAGAGAAAGATATATACAAACACTCGTGAAGGGTGTCAGAACTACAGTTTACAAGCTGGGGGGGGGGGGGGGGGTTTAAAAAAAGATGAAAATTGAGTAATACATATATAAAAAACATTAAATGAAAAGAATAAACATAAGAAACAAAAAGGAGCAAAACAATATGAGAAACTTAAAACAACAAGTTTTTTTATATCTGTTGTGAAATGGTTCTAGCAGTTTTCCAGTTTTTTAATCAACTTATTGAAGAATAGTACAACTTGAATTCGTTCATAAAACACGGGAAGGAGGGCTGATTGTCCCTCCACTTACTACAATGAATGTGGTACTTTGCTATAAGGATGACTATATTTATAGCATCAGAGTAAGCTGAGCTTAAATTATCCATATAAAATAAAATGGCATCAGCATCAAAGGGAGGAATGTTAAGTTTTAGATTAATCCAGTTTGTAATGTCAGTCCAGAAACGTTGTGAGTATTGACATGAAAAAAACAAATGTTCAAGGGATTCATCTTCAGATTTACAAAAGGTTACTCAAATCCACCTCAAATTTAAATCTTCTGTGCAGAAGCATGGCTACTGGATAGATCTTATTTATTATTTTAAGATGGTTTTCTTTCACTTTAGGAGATATAGGCCATTTGACAAATTTCGAATGAGCAGAAGTCATTATGGTTTTATGATTTATATTGGGAGGTTTCTTGAATGAATCTTTGTTGTAATCATAGTAAATCGTTTGTCGCATGCATTCATTGATAATCTTGTTATTACATTTGAGATCAACTAAACTACAGTCATTTAGTTTTAATGTGGGCATCGAAACGGTCACCTTTGAATACATAATGATATTTTTAATTAACTGAATCAAGGCTAAAGGGATTGCTTTACATACCTTCATAAAATCTTTATGGCAGCAGCTAAGGTTATATTTTCTAACAAAAGATGAGAAATTTAAAAGATCTCCATTACAATCCAAGATATCTGTTACAAAAATTATGCCTTTTTCATACCAGTCTTTTCTAAATATTGACTTTCTGCCCACTGTGATTGCTCTATTATTCCACAAAGTTGATCCATGAGGTGAGAAATTATTTACAGCAGATAATAATGAATATGTCCTGATGCATGTATATGGTTTATATTGTTTGAAGGTCATAAAAAAAACTTCTGCACGGATGAATAAAAACATAAAGGAAAATATTATTTTTATTTCCCGCATGGTTAAATATATGACGTGTTTTTGTTTTTAAGGTACACCTGCAGTTCTGCACCTATATCTGGACCTGCCATTCTGTGTTTGTTTGCCTCTTCTTCCTGTTCCTCTCAAACCCAGCCGGTCAAAGCAGATGGCCACTTGTCCTGAGCCTGGTTCTGCTGGAGATTTCTTCCTTTTAAAAGGGAGTTTTTCCTTTCCACTGTTGCCATTGTGCTTGCTCAGGATGGGAGACTGTGACAAAGTCAAGATTCAACGAGTCTGTTGGCTTCCTTAGAAAGAGAACTTTACTAATTGGCTTTTCTATGTGTGTGAATGTTCCTGTATAGTTCCCTGAGACAAATTTGTTGTGATTTGGCATTATATAAATAAAATTAATTGAATTGAATATGATCTCTCCTGGCAGCACGGTGGCGCAACTGGTAGAGCTGCTGCCTCTCAGCGAGCAGGTCCTTGGTTCAAACCCCGGTCCAGGGGCCTTTCTGGGTGGAGTTTGCATGTTCTCTCCGTGCATGCGTGGGTTTTCTCCGGGTACTCCGGTTTCCTCCCACAGTCCAAAAACATGCATGTTAGGCTAATTGGTTACTCTAAATTGTCCCTAGGTGTGAGTGAGAGAGTGAATGGTTGTTTGTCTCGTTTGTCTCTATGTGGCCCTGCGATGGACTTGCGACCCGTCCGGGGTGTACCCCGCCCCTCGCACAGTGATTGCTGGACATGGGCACCAGCGACCCCCGTGACCCAAAATGGAATAAACGGGTAAAGAAAATGGATGGATGGATGATCTCTCCTACCAACTCCAGTTAAGACCCTGGCAGCAGCATTTTGGATCAACTGAAGACAGGCAGTTCTAGTAACGTTTTTAATGTGGCGGTTAAACGACATGTCCTGATCAAAAATAACACAGATTTTTAACATTAGAGCTGGAGGCCAGATCCAAGGAGGGTGAAAGATTGAAAAATGGATTCCTAAGATGCTCAGGTCCAAAACCCAAAACATCTTGTCTGTATTCAAAAGCAGAAAATTAAGGGTCATCCAGGTTTTTGTCTTTAAGACATGCTTGTAGTCTAAGTAGTTGATTGGCTTCATTGGGTTTCATGGACACATATAGCTGTTTATCAACAGCATAACATTGAAAACTTATTCCATGCTGTTTAATAACGTTATCTAATGGAAGCATATATAAGGTAAAAATGTATTGCTCCAAGCTCTGAACCCTGAGGGACTCCACGACTATCATTTGTGTATAATAAAGATTCATTATTTACATTTACAAATTGGAATCTATCAGATAGATTTGATTTAGACCGATTTAGAGCCGTTCCTGTAATTCTAATATCATAAAATCTCTCTAGTAGAATATTGTGATATCTGTATCAAATGCAGCACTGAGGTCTAACAGGACCAGTGTAGACACCAGTCCATTGTCAGAGGCCATGAGAATATCGTAAGTAACTTTCACCAGTGCTGTTTCTGTGCTATGATGAGCTCTAAACCATGACGGAAACTCTTCAAATAGATTTCTTTGCAGATGCTCACACCTGACCTACTATTTTCTCTAGAATTTTTTTAGCTGAAAGTTAGATTAGATATAGGTCTATAATTGGCTAGGATTTCTTCATTTCTAATATGCTTCTACTACCAATATATACCCTCTGCTCCTCCTCTGGACATGTCCAAAACCAACCAGCAAATAATAATAATAATAATAACAATAATAATAGTAATAATACTAATAAGTAGTAGTAGCAGTGTACTATATCGCATCATTGGGGCAAGATTATTATTCAAATAAATAAATACTCAATAGAAGCCACCACCGGATATCACCGCTGCTTGAACAGCAGACCGGAAGTAAAGCTCCATCCTTCCTCGTCTCAGTAAAAGCATAGGCGATACCACCTCGTGAAATTTCAAACACGATGTTTATTTTCTATATGAGAATACATACAGTGAATATAGTTATATTTTTATTTAAAAAATTGCATCTTTCAAAAAGTTATCATACTCTAGTTAAATTTCGGTTTATTTAGCTAAGTTTTTTTTAACCTCCCCCAAGCTAACATGCAAAATAGTTTCGTCCAAACCGGAATTGACTATTTTTTCTACATTAAAAAAAGCCTTTTTTTAAACTACTAATTTTGTTTCTGCTTCCTTTGAACAAAAACAACAACCTTTACACCTAAAGTAACAGACAATTTATTAGCGTTTGCTGCTTTATTTGAATGATAGTATTAAAATTATCTTGTGTGTTCATATGTGGGACACCCCTGTCGTTAGGTGCTGCTGTTCCTGGTACTTCCTCGTTCAAAAGTTTTATTCAGGCGAAGGCTTCGGAAGGGGAAAGTTGGCTAGTGGCTTGTTACTTGTTTCTTTCTCTACTGTGCTTTCTACCGTAAAAACGAGGATTATGTGACGCACATTTAGTTGTAACTAGCGTGTAGCTGCCGCAGCTTTGATGGATGAAAGCAGAGGCTGTCAACAGTGAAAGGCTGGAGGAAGAGGAAGATGTCCACGGCTAATGTTAGCGAAAACATCCGACTGAAGTTTCCCCTGCATTCCGCAGTTTGGGGGAATGATTACAGGAAACTGGAAGAGGAATTAAGATTATCACGGGTTGGTAAAACTAAACAACTAGCAACACAGTTAATTCACACCGACATGTTTTGCTGGCTAAATCAAACGGGAGTAGCTGGTAGTTAAAGTAGGCCAGTGGTGTTGACAGATGCTAAGCTTTACTTTCTGTTTTATTTACTGTGATTACATGACGATTTATTACCGGTTTAAGAAGAGGTAGTAAATTAGGATCAAATTGGTTGATTTCTATTTTAAAGGCACATCAAAGCGTGACTGTGTCAGATAAATACATCTTGTTTACATACTGTTTACATACTGATTAATAATTGTTTGGGATTTTGATTACCTAAACCAATAGTTTATAATGTATTATGCTGAGTTATTAATGTAATTATCATTAAACTGACTTTTTTTTTTTGTCAAGCTTTAGCAATTATTTCCACAATTAATCACAAGTTACATTTAAATAGTTTAAATATTAGAAAACTTTAGGGTGTTGATCATGCTTAGGACATTGTAAATGGTGAGCTGTTATTACGTTGTGGTTGCTACTAATCCCCAGTGATTAACAACAATTGTAGGGTGACACGTACAAGAAACAGTCATGATGTTTGTGTACTGCAGTTAGTCCTATGTCAATATCATCTAAGACTTAAATGATAGTTTGAAGGGCTGTCATAAGGCGGCCTTCAGTTACGAGGCTTCCACAAAAAGCACATTCGTAACCGTCCAGTATTAAATGTAATTTGTATTCATTTAATTTTCCCTCAGCATGACGTTGAAGCTGTGGACCCAAGAGGTCGGACCCCTTTGCACCTGGCTGTGTCGCTCGGACACCTAGAGTCAGTGAGAGTCCTCCTGAGACATGGTGCCGAAGTGACTAAAGAAAATAGCAACAGCTGGACAGGTTGGCTATAAAATTAAAAACATGCCTTAAATCACAATTTTATTCTCTTTCAAATAGGCAACTTATATCATTTGCTGTTTTTTATTTATTCCTTAGATTTGTTCATCTGTTGTTAATGAGATTTTTGCTTTGTACATAATGAACTCTTTACAGTAACAGTAAATAATTCACCCTCACTGTGAGGTTTTCTAAAGGACGGCTGTAATGCCAAGGCAATGGATGCTGTTCCTGTAAAAGGCTCGGTGGTATATCTTTTACACTGGTTCGTGTTTTGTGTAGTGCTGCAAGAAGCAGTCAGCACCGGCGATCCAGAGATGGTTCAATTAGTGCTTCAACGTAGAGACTACCTCAAAGCCTCCACTGCGCTGGGAGGAGTGCCTGAACTTCTGCTGAAGATCAGAGAGGTTTTCACGCATATATTTTCTAACCTTCCTCTCATCACTAGTATATGCGAGCCTGGATATGTTTCACTGAAGAATGACCGTTGGCTTGTGTTTGTTTATCCCCAGTCTCCAGACTTCTATATGGAAATGAAGTGGGAGTTTACCAGCTGGAGTAAGTTTTTGGGTGTTTTGGTTCTATTATGAACATTAGCTCTGTGTGTAGGATAATATCATGATTTAAGCGGATTATCATCAACTTAGTATGTTTTTAAAAAGTGTTTAAGTAGTTAAACATGTTCAAATAAAAACTCTTCGCTGGTTGAGTTTTCACAAGGTCGTACCAGCCAAACTGCATACCTGCTTCTCTTGTGTTGATTTATTTATGAGTCACATTCTTTTCATTGGAAGATTATTTATTTATTTTTGTATGCTGTTGTTTTACAGTCCCCTTTCTGTCCCGGATTTGTCCAAGTGATGTTTGTCGCATCTGGAAAAGTGGCGCCTGCCTGCGAGTGGACGTCACTCTCCTCGGCTTCGAAAACATGACGTGGATCAGAGGCCGGAGAAGTTACATCTTCAGAGGAGACGGTGCGTGCGCTTGTCTTTGAACTGAAACACACAAAAATATACCTTTGGTTCTGTTTGTGCTTGTGTAAAGTGCCGTCTGTGTTCTGATAGAATCGTGTGCAGAGTTGATGGAGGTGAACCATGATGATAAAGTTGTTGACGTTGAGCGCTTCAACATATCTCAAGAAATGGAAGATGTCACGCTGGAGTCGATGCAGCCAGCTGAACAGGAAGTTGCCAAAAGGTTGACGACACCGATCGTCAACACCTACTTGGACACAAAGAATATTGCTTTTGAAAGGCAAGAAGCTTTGTCTGCAGAACAGCTTTTATAGCAGACTTGTTGATTACGATTTATGTTCAGCTCATGTTTATGTTTCTTTTATTACTCTAGCAAATAATTGCGTACAATTCGTTATTTTATACGTTAACTTCTTACGATGTAATAGATCGCTTCCTCAATAGGCAGCTTGCAGTTTTACCAGACTGGTCTAATTTGTTTTCTTCAATGTTCACCTTTGTGTCGTCGGTGTTTTTTGTTTGTTTTTCTACAGGAACAAGTCGGGGATATGGGGTTGGAAAACGGAGAAAACAGAAGTGATCCAAGGATTTGAAGCAAAGGTTCACAGAAGTTTCTCAGTTTCTATTTTATTTTTTTTTTCTAAACCAAAACGTGCATTTGTGGACATCAGTGCAGCTGGTCTGCTTTAAATCACATTGGATTCTGTTTGTCTTGTCAGGTTTTCAATGTCAATAATGTACATGTCGTAATCAGGACGAGAACGGAGCATTTAACAGATGAGGAGAAAGCCAGGATTAAAAGTAGGCTGACAGTATTTTCTACATGTCACTTTTCTGTCTTTCATAAAGACAAGATTGCACTTTTATAATTCTCCAAACTGATAAAACTACATCGACATTTTGTTCAAAGGTGAAAGGAATGTCTTGGAGTCCCTTCTTGGGACAGTGGAGCAGCACATAAGTGCACAGGGGGTAAGATGTTCAGTTTATTTAAATACGGGTTGTTGTTTTTTTTTTTTATCTCACTGGCTCATTTCAGATGATTGCTTAACATTTTAGGATCTAACTCTTGAGTATGCAACGGCCACAAATCCCACTGCAATCACTCCAGAGGAATATTTTGACCCTGACTTTGAGCTGGGCAACAGAGACATCGGCCGTCCCATCGAACTGACCGTCCGAACACAAAAGTAAAATGGATTTTGTCGTTCTCCTGGTTTCTGTATCAGTCTGAAGCGTGTTTGAAAGAATGATTTATGCGATCTTGTTTCTTCTAGATTCAAAGGAACACTGTGGATGAGCGAGGAACATCCTCTGTCCCTGGTGGAGCAGGTGACCCCCATTATTGACATCATGGCTCGAACCAGTTCCCATTTTGCAAGACTACGAGATTTTGTAGCCCTGAAATTTCCCCCTGGATTTCCTGTTAAAATAGGTACATGCCGATTTAACCTTCCTTGTTTTTAATTAAGACTACATTTTGATAAAGCGTTGTTATTCTTCTCGGTTTCTCTCCTGCAGAGATCCCCCTGTTTCATGTGCTTAATGCCAGGATTACCTTTTGTAATCTGAATAGCTGCAGAGATGAAAATGAAGTGAGTGCATCTGCAGCCACCACACCGACTTCCTCTGTGGAAAATGAAGCGGCGACAGGTAGAGACACATTCAGAACATTTGCTTCGTTGAACTCAGTGCAATGTCATGAAGGCCGATCTAAAACAATTTTATAAAGAAACAAAAGCCACTTTTTTTTTTCATATAGTTGTTTAATTTGACCTTAACTAAAAATTTGTAAGCAACATTTGTGAACAGCTGCCAGCTATAATTGCGTTTGTTTACCTACAGAAACAGCCATAAAGTGACTGAAAATAGGTCAACGTCGGCAACGTCCCTGAAATCGTCATATTGCTCTTTTTAATAATGGCTGCAGCAGACATGACATGAAAGTATTTAGACTCCAAACCCTGTTTGTGTGAGGTCAAGTCCGAAGTCCGGTGTACCACATTACAATGAGCTATAGAAGAGAAGGCAGAAGACGAGAAATGCCAAGATTTTAGCCCTAAGCCTGAACCCTGGTTTTTATTCTTGACGGCTGTTTTGGTCACTTTTTATTTTTTTTGCTTTCACATTTAGCAGCAGATTCCCTCATATTTCCTCATCTTTTTGAGATTCTACTTTTCTAGTTCCTCCATATTTGTTTACCTACACAGACTAATGTGGGTCAGTTACGTAGCTTTTACTGTGTTTTAGCAGCTTAACAAAAACTGCTGGAATAAACTCTTAAACGGCACCATTTTTAATATTGTTTAGAATAACTCTTTTGTATTTTATAGTTTGCATCGAGTCACTTTTAAAATACCAGCTGTGTGCTTGTGATTTCTAACCATCTCCTGTTGATTTTGCTTGTCCAGCGCTCCCTCCATTTCAGGTGTGTCCCTCAGTGTTTGAGGTTCCTGCGAGTTATCACCACAGAGGGGGCAGCCGCCACGTGCACACGCCAAACAACGACGAGGAGCTTTTACAGTACGCCATCCATCAGAGTCTTCTCGACCAGGTCAGAACAGTTCGCTTCACTGGAAACGCACCATCACACACAAATGTTTGTTTTCAATGCGCCTCACTGTTTACCTGCCTGTTGTGTTTGTAGGAGAGCGTCTGGAACGTTGAGGAGGAGGAAGAATTAGCTAATGTAGTGCCAATCAGCCAAAATGACAGGTAGGAAACCAGGTTGTTAGCTTAACTACACGATCAGACGTGAGAAGACGACTCCATTAACCATCTCTGTTCATCAGTGAAAGCAACAGCACAGCTGGATTTGACTTCTTCCTGTAAATGTCATTGTAGGAGTATCCCCGAGGGGGTGCTGGTGGAGTACGAAGACGCCTCCTGCCCTGCCCCTAACCTCGAGTCAGACCTCCGCCTAGCCATGGAGCTCTCTGCTCAAACTCAAGAGGAAGAGGCGAGGATGAGGAAGCAGGAGGAGGAGGAGCTGGAGAGGATACTGCAGCTGTCACTCATGGAAAAATAAAAGGGAAAAGAGGAAACGTTTTCAGATCCCAGAAGCAACCACCACACCTCAGAGATCCTTCCTAACCTCTCGATCCACCTATGCAACAGCAGGTTTTTCTCTAATGAATTAGCCTCATGCAGGTAAAATTAACCTTTTTGATAACGCCATCTGCTTTTATACATTTCCATTTTGTCATCTGTCCATGACTAAATCTCACGGCGTTTGAAATTTTATGCAACTTGTTCCGGTTTTATCTCGCAGTAGCAACCACATGTATTTGTCACATTGCCATCTGGAGGAGGGATAAATGTCACGGACGAACAATAACGTTTGACTTTAAAAGTGACTTCATGTAGATTTAGAGTTGTAGTGCTTAAAAAGTGAATGACAAAAAGCAATTTTTAAAAAATATTTTCAGCACTGAAATTTTAGAAAATCGTTCTGGAAACCACCTAACCACAAGAAAAGCTTCAGGGACTGCAGTTTTAAAACAAAACCTTTTGAGTTTAATCAATGAAAACTTCCTACGGAGTCACTGCTAAGGAGCGTTAAATCTCAGGGTTCCAACTTTCTACATACTCCCATCACTTTGAGTCATCAGTTGTTCTCTTGGGGAACGTTTATGGTGCAGAACGGTACTACTCGTGCATATCACTCTGTACGAAATTATAAATTTTAAAAAGTTGGGATCGTTGAGCCAAATATTTATTTATTAAATGCATTTTTATGTACTCTGTGAATGTAGAACGCCCAGGTGGGGAAACAAAAAAGCATGTTGCTGTCATGGTTGTTTTAAATAGGAGTATTCCCCTCAACTTGTGCTAATAATTATTTAAAAAAATAAATTTTAAACTGTCACTGAGCAACTTGATTGAAAATAAAGCAACAGCAGACGAGTCTCTGTGAGTTCACAGCATTTAAACGTGGAAGCTTAGGCTCAGGTTCCTAAAAACAGGTCTTTAAATCTGGTAAGAAAAAAAACTGAAGCTGTAAGAAGAAGCAGTTTTAGGTACGTGCAAAGCTCTGAACAGGCTCTGGGGTCGAGGTGTGGGGGCAAATTCATGGAGTGCCATTAAGTTAACATTTGACGAAGTGTTTTCTTTTGAAGATTTTGTAACAAAAAAAAAAGAGAAAAGATGAATTAGTAACAGAGTAATGCTGAGTAACATGAATTAACCACTATAGTTGATCTCACTGACAGCCGAGCACTTTGTGCGTCTCTGCGCCCCACAGGGGCTTCAACTAACGACCAAATGACCAAACTGGTGATCAATCAACCTCCACATGGCTAAGGTTCAATTAATGCAGGTTTTTGTAATGCACCGTTTGAGCTAAAAAGTTATTTTTAATATGCTGTAATGGAAAAAAAAAATGTCTCTTTGAAAATGCTGTTTTAAAAATGTTCTAAAATAAAAGCACTTTATTTCCATAAAGACCACTCGTGAAGTTTGTGCACGCCTGGTAAAACGTCACCGTCTGGGCCTTTCCAACATGTAAGGGTTTCAGTGCAAAATGCAAAAACTTGTTTTTGCAAAAAGGTTTAAAATTCAAATATTCATTTCAGTCGTGACATCTAAAGTCTTAAAGTGGTCAGTAGTTTTAGGTGCGGGTTGAATTACAGCCGAAATGGAAGAATCTGTTTTAATGTAAAATAAACCGCTGATGATTCGAGCGAAGCTGGTTTTAGTTTAGTGTATGAATCAGTTACCGTGTCCATCTTTACCCGTTTCAGTTGTGCAGAAAAGTTTGGAATCTAAAGGAGAGCAACGAAGACTTGTTTTATTTGTCCACGTTTATTCTAACTGCACCAGCTTACAGCAAAATCATATTGGAAACATTTTCCACAAGTAAAAAAAAAAAAGATGGTTTCATGTTTTATTTACCAGTAATCAGTACATTTATGAGCTGACTCCAGCATTTAAACGTTAGTAAGTCATTTCTCTACTCCTTCTAACAAACTAACAATCGACAAACTTGAACGGATGTTGATAAAAACATCTTCCTCGCTTTGTGATTTCCTTTAAATCATTGAAGAGTTTAAGATTCGTGACTTGCATTTTCACATCGAACACACCATGCAGTGAACAAAATGCACATGACAGCATTTCCTTGAGCGAGAAAGTCTGGATAAATGTGCAACGTCATTACAAACATTTTACAATAAATAAATAAATAAATACATAAATAAACAAACAAACAGTAGAAGCTTTTGAATGTCTTGTGCAATCTTTAAGTGTTGCCATAAATGTTCAGGCGAGTTTACAGAAACGTCCAAACGGGTCTGGACCGTGGTGTCAGGACGGGTTCATGCCCAGCAGCACGAGAGGCGAAGCCCAAAGACTCCACATTACCACCACCTAAACGGATTTAACCGTCCACAAGTACAAATTAAGCTGTGAAAGGGGCGGCTGTGGCTGAGTGGTTAGAGCAGTCGTCCTCCAATGCAAGAGTTGGGGGTTCGATTCCACCAGCAGTCACATGCTGAAGTGTCCCTGGGCAAGACACTGCCTCCTCTGTGTCCCGTCAGTGTCTGAACGTGATTCTTTGTATATAGTAGAGTGCTGTGTGAATGGGTAGATGAGGGCACAGATTGTAGTGTAAAGCACTTTGAGTATCTTGATCAGATAGAAAGGTGTAAGTATAAGTACAGTCCATTTACCATCGAAACAAACCAGAGTCCATCGCTGACCTGAGACAGGAACAGGTTTTAGCAGTGATTGTGCGCCAGCAGGACTTCCTGGTAAGAAAGCTGATTTCCACCCGGTGCTGGTTCAGTTCTGCAGGTTGTCCTCCAGGGCTGCGCGGGCAGGGCTCGGTCTCGTTTCAGCGACGGGACAGTGGTTTGTAGACGCAGACAGCCATGAGAATCATCACCAGCAGCAGGGCACCGACGACGCTCCCCAGCATGACTGAAAAGATAAAAACACTCCGTAATTAAACGCCTAGTGCTCCTGGGAGGAACGCCCATCACCTGCTGCCTTTTTGTTGTGGATGAACAATCTCAAATCATTTCCTATGTAACGTCACTCAGCACATGGGGCGTGTGTTGTGAATGACTCTCAGCTACTACCACACCAAACTTTAGCTCAGTAGCTGTAAAATTCAGTTATAGCCATTTGTGCGTTAACGTTGATTAGTTGTGGTGGCCATCTTGAATTGTGTTGATACCAAACGCTAATCAGTTGCAGACATCCAAACAATACTTTGAGTTTAAGTCATACCTCACAACTGGTTCATGATATTTTGCTAACAAACAGGACTGACGGCAACAGTTGATGTCAAGGCTTGGATGTTGCGCAATGTTTAGAGTATGTGTTGGGGACTATCCTCAACTACTACCACACCTCACAGGATCTGTAGCTTTGGCTGAGTTAGAGCCATCGTTGTGTTTTACAGTTCAGTTGGCTGTGGCGGCCATCTTGAATTGCTTGAAACCCCCTCCCCCCCAAAAAAAACAAACAAAAAAACTAAATAATAATTAGTTATATATGAACTTCCAATGACTACTTTATAAGTTCCGTTAAAAACCGTCTGGTGGTTCATGCGATATTTTGCTAACAGACAGACCACACACAGACAGAGATGGCTAAAAATCGTTATCACCCTTCCCCTCGGGCGATAACGCATTGCGCTGAGTTCAGGGACAAACAGGCCTGAAACAAACAGCAGTCCGCACGGACCCGCACGCCTCGCTTCCGGTCTCACCTAAGTTCTGCTTCTGCAGGACCGCATACGGCCCCTCTGCAGGTTCGGACTCGTCCTGCTGGGCGCTGATGATCCCGCTGAAACACATGATCACAGCTGGAGGGACGAGCTGCAGCATCACGCTGATGGAGGAGGATGAAGGAGGAGGAGATTTTTTCTATCAAGGTCCTACCCCATGCCTCCCCCCGCCGGAAGCAGAGTTTTATTTTTATCTTTATTAAAGCAAATGACAAGTATACAACAAACAAAAGGCGCCGGAAGTAGAGTTGTTTACGCAGTGACCGTCTTCCGCTGCTGTTTTTATGTCCATGCGCTCTGGACGTCACTCACAGCGCTCGTGCAACAAAGAGTAAACTCAAGCAAGAGCAACACCTGCCCCCTCTTTCCTCTTTTGCGTTGACTAAACGTTTTAGTTTCATCGATAAGTGTGTCAAAGCACAATTTACAGAAGTAATGTTTAGTAAATGTTAGGACTCTATTCTTTGCTAACAAAATAAATTCACCTCCTCAGTTAAGCTGCTGTTTTTCAATCAACCTTTATTTAGACAGGTAAATCCCATTGAGCCTCGAGGACTCATTTACAAGAGAGACCTGATTTCAGCAAAGAAAGACGACAACAATGGACAACAGCAACAACAATAAACATTTATAAAAAGTCATACTGCAGGGGTTTTTTTTTTTTTTTTTTTTTTTTTTTTTT